AGGGAAGGGAAGGGAAGGGAAGGGAAGGGAAGGGAAGGGAAGGGAAGAGACGAGCAGAGAAAAGAGAGAGGAGACCAAACAGCAGCGGTCAAGAGGGCGCATGGATGAAATGGCAGGGTTATAGGGGAAGGAGAAGCTGGGGAAGGGAATCCCCTGAGCAGGAGAGTTTAGGGAGCAGGGTTAGAAGAGCTGAGAGGAGCCACAGGAACTGAGTATGCTTGGAGATCACCTTGTGCTTTGGAATGCTAATAGGCATCACAGAGAGCCATTTATCCCTAATTCCTTTCTTTTTCTCCTTTTCTTTCTTTCTTTCTTTCTTTCTTTCTTTCTTTCTTTCTTTCTTCCTTTCTTTCCTTCCTTCTTTCTTTCTTTCTTTTGTTTTTTGAGACAGGGTTTCTCTGTAGCTTTGGAGCCTGTCCTGGAACTAGCTCTTGTAGACCAGGCTGATCTCGAACTCACAGAGATCCACTTGCCTCTGCCTCCCGAGTATTAAAGGCTTAAAGTCATGTACCACCACCTCCAGGCTGTCTGTTTCTTTTGGATCTGAGAAAAATAACATGGGAGTGAGTTGAAAACCAAGATCAAGGGTTCCGAATGCTATATAATGTTATTCTCTTGGTAAAGATATCATCCATACTCTTTATATCTGATTTTGAACATAATCCCACATCCTCACTAAGAGCTAGAAGTCATTTGGAATCAAACAGAGCTAAAGATGTTGTTGATCACTCTCTCATTCCCTATGAACTCATGGAGACAGAGGAACTTGGACACATTCATTCAACCTTGTACCTCAGATCTTTCCATTGACACCACAGAGGCCGATATTATTATTTCTCTGGGTGTACATGAGGACGATATGGTCCCATCTTTCTTTATGACACCGGTGACAACGATTATTTCAACATTACCTCTCATTTTCTTAGTACTCTGCTGAGTTTTGCTTTGTTATGGAAAGAAATAAAAAGCTTCTCAAATTATAAAATAACTTGGTCTTAGGAATAATTGCCAGTTGGTATAAGATATATATTTTGGGGCTCTGTAGGATGGAAGAATAAAGGACAGACTTTGGGGCACAGTGGCAAGTGTGCTGACTCAGGTTTGGGTTCTCTTCCATGTAGCTTGTTCTCTCTGTCTCGACTCTCTTCCCAGTGTCTCTGTTCAAGGTTGTCTATTCTCTTTCTTACAAGACCTCATTTCTCTGTTCCCTAGGGGTGTTTTTATTGCCATGTGTTAGCTCTGCAAGTCCCTCTTTTAATCTCCTGGGTCTCTCGTAATTTCTTATATACGTTATGTTTTGCTGACTAAGTATTCCCAATTTCTCTGTGGAGCAGTACATTTATCAGGCTCCCCTTTGATCCACTTCTGGGAGTTCCTACATCCAGATTAGCTTGGCTGTCATTCTTGTTTAACAAAGGCAGGGTCACCTGGTTGGCTGCCTCTGCAGGTACAAGTTAGGATGACCATTCGGTATTAACTCCCTTTTATATGGGTTTTATTCAAATTCTTCTCAGAGCTTCAATGGAACCATCCGAATCACAATCTACTTCTTTGTTGTCCCAGGTTATGAAAAATGGGGAAAGGGATGAGGCAATGTGAATAATCATGTTGGTAGATTGCTATTAATGTTATTCTTACCAAAACAGGTTTTTAAGGCTACTCAGGTTAGGAAGGAATCAAATGTATACTCCTTAAAAGTGCACAGTAATTTCAGGCTGTAGAAAAGTCAGAGAGCTGCAGACGAGCTGTGTGTTAGCTTGGGCGGCACCTGCTTGTGACTTTTAAGGTGAGATAGTAAAAAGTGATTTGGTCATAAAGCGTTGCCTTTTATTTCTCTCCCTGCCTTTTACCCTTTCTCCCTGCTCTGGATCCTTCCTCCATCCTTCCTGTGTGTGTTCATATCTCTATGTGTGAGTATCTATCTCACATCACTACTCTTATGCTTTAGAAATTTGCTGATATTAAGATGTAGTGCTAATATCTGCATTTTCATCACTATTGCTAGATATCTAGGTGTTTTGCATTTTTATATAAAACAGAGTGGTAGGCATTCCTGGTTTGTTTCCTCTTGCACAACTATATGATTTCCTGTAGATTAAGGATCTATCCATATGAGTGTAATTGACTTCCAGGGCAGTTATAGATCAGTCTTAAACTGTTCTTGATCCTGAAGGATGCTACTTGAGAGGGTAGGGGCTGCATTAAATCACACTCCCACCAACCATAACTCAGTTATTGAACTCAGTTAAATAACTCAGTGCCTGGTTACCCACAGCTTGGCCAAGACTTAGACTCACTGGACCTTTACATTTGTATTAATAGAAAAGAAGTAACTCCATTGCCTTGCTTTAAGATGCATTTACCTAAGCTGGGTGATGGTGCACATCGTGAATCCCAGCACGCAGGAGTCAGAGGATGGCAGATCTCTGTGAGTTCAAGGCCAGTCTGGTCTGCAGAGCAAGTTCCAGGACAGTCAAGGCTACACAGAGAAACCCTATATCAAAAAAACAAATGAGAGGAAGTGGAAGAAAATATGCTTTACCTGATTCTAGCATAGCTGGCAGTGTTTTCATTAATATATAGGTCTTAGCCTATGATTTGTCTGTCTCTTGTTTATCAATATGCCATCATCATCTATTGATTGATTTATCCATCTTTCAACTCTCTTTGTATTTATCATCTATCCACCATCTATCATCTATGTACCTATCACTTGTCCATTTTCTATTCATGATACATATTGTTTATCCATCATCTAATATCTATCTGGTGAATCTATCAACCATCTTGTAATCTATCATATATCCATCTCTGTCACTTATCAGTAGTCTATCATGTATGTTTTCATCAATCAATCTTCTATTTACAATCTATATAATTTACCTAACTTCTATTGTATGTCTTTTTGGTATATCTATTATCTATCTGTCATCTATCTTTGATTTAAAATCACATATCATTTCTCTATCATCTACCATATGTCTATTTATAATCTATTATCTACCCCATCTATCTATTTATTCATCTATCAACTATTTATCATTTAAATCTATCTATCTATTTATCTATCTATCTATCTATCTATCATCAGTCATCTGTCTGTCTCTGTCTCTGTCTTTTTGTCCAAATACTTAACAAGACAGAAGTAACTTGAGAGGAAGGAGTGCCCTGGGATCACAGGGGAGAAGGTACAGTCCATTACAGCAGGGACAGCATGGAGTCAGGACCAACTCCTGTCTCTGACAGCAGGAAGATGAGGTGACTATTCAAACCACACCAACCAGGCAACATAAAGCTTAGGTGAGAAAGAAACCAGGCTACAATTCTTAAATGTCTGCCTCCCACTTTATCCAGTTATGCTTCTACATCAAAGAGCCCATTGCCTCCCCACAACCGAGCCAGAAATTAAGGACTAATAATTTATTAACATGGGGGACATTTCCCATTCATATTAAGGAAGTCTGTCTACCTGCCTACCCCTTGGTATTGCTCTTCTGTGAGGGATCTGTTTGTACCTACCTTCTGTTCACTTTCATTTTGATGTCTCTTTCTCAGTGGCTGCATAGGCTTGTTAGAGCCTTCATTTACCTGTGAACACCATTCCCTTAGAGCCTTAATTTTCACTGTGATGTCTGCTATACAGACATCTTAGTCCGGGTGACTTAGAGTAGAAACTTGTAGAGACCAAGTAAGTCTTAGGTCAAAGTCCCCGAGCAGCTGGCTCCTGGTGAGGTCTCTCTTCTGGCTGCAGACTTCCACTTTCTGTCATTTGAAGGGTCTGGCGTTTCCTTCTTTTTCTTCTAATATTCAATTGAATTAGGGCCCCACCCTGGAGCCTCATCATCTAACCTTAATTACAGCTTGAAGGCTCTGCCGTACTGGGGCCAGAACTCCACCATGACTGTTAGGGAGGCACCATTTAGTTCATGACGTTAGTCTCTTTGCCTGTACCTCGCCAATACATTCCTGACTCAGGTTTCCCTCTGTTTTCTTTGTAATGAACTGGTCAGTTTTTGTCCTCCATATGAATTTCACATTCACTTGTCAAGTTGAGTTAAAGCTGTTCTCGTTTTTCAGGGTCACTGTTCTTTTGTGATGTAATTTGCTGACTTCAGATCAAACACT